TTCCAACAGGTGAAACCCAATTACAGGAAACGCTGAAAAAAATAACAATTAAAGAGACATGGTTCTTGGACTTAAATCTATAGTATCACACATTCTAAATAAGATTGGATGATCTATAGCAGTTAATAATCGATGCACAACTGTCACTGTAAATATCACACGATTCAGTAACACTGTTCATGAGGCAGCACATGAGATTAATTGGCGATTTTGTCATAACATTTGTACGGCCAGCTTGACAATAGAATGCCGTTTGTTGTCGACTCCCTAGCCTTGGAACGCGGAAACATATTTTTTCAAGTAAATTTTGACAGTCAATTTTATTATGAATGAGGCCATACAAAAACGACAAAGCAAATATGTTTCGTCTTGTTGACAGTGAATCCAAATTGAAAATTTCTAATAGGGCACTATGGTCACAACCTCTTTCTGGATAAGAACCTGTGCATTTAAGGTGAAAATACTTTAAAGCTTTACGTTGAATGGCCTCAAGGATCACGACAGAATTTTGGTATATAGGAGACCAGATCAGAGTCGCATACTCCAACTTGCTCCTGAGAAAAGTAAAAAATAAAGTCAACATTGGAGAAACCCTTCCAGTTTCTGATACAGAAACCAGGTAGTCGAGTGGCAGCCGACGAGATATTGAGTATATGCTCAGTAAACGTTAGCTTGGTATCAAAAATGACTCCAAGATCTCTATAAGAGGTTCATCTGTCTATTACCTGACCATTGATATTATAATTATCATAAATTAAATAGTTAACTTTTCTTGTATAAGTCATAACCTTACATTTCGAAACATTCAGACTGAGACAGTTTCGTGAACACCATGACGAAATTAGAGCTAAGTCATCTTGCAACATAACGCAATCCTCGACTGTCTTGACTGACGTGCAGATTTTAAGGTCATCAGCGAAAAACAAATGGAAACACTTCAGTTCAAAAGACAAGTCAATATGTAAATCCTAGGATCCAATCGGATTCCCGGAGGGAGGGGCGGCCTCCCCGTTCCCCCTTGCGAACGCCGTGTTGACGTACTTTTTTACAGTGAGACAAAATATTTTGCCACCCCGTACAATCATTCGACCTATATAACGCCGTTTTATTCACTGAAGAAATAAGCTCGAGTATAGCCCTGCCGTCATAATCATCAGTCGTCGGAAATGTCCTGATATTGATTCGTGAGATTGAATGAAGGGGGCTCGTTCTTATTCATACGCATCCCGTCCTCGCTCAGATTCTCATTATTAAGCGCGGGGACCTAATTTGGACACACGGCCAGGACGAATTTGTAATTGAATAAGTCCCGATGGAGATTTGCAGGATTTTCCCTTCTACTCTTCTGCTCTAATTCGCGACATCGCTGCGTGAGGTAGGAGGGATCAGGATTCCGTTATCTCCACATTTCCGATGATCGCATTGACAAGGGGGGCAAAGGTATAGACGCATGGTGGGAATAGTCTATATAAAGACTGGTCCGGAATAGGTTCCTGGAGCTTGCTCCATTTCTTTCCCGTCTCTTCCAGATATCTTACAAATCCGACAGTTTCCCAAAAAAATTGCAACTGTCCAGACCATTCCGAAAAAAGGGTCTAAGGTCGACCTTGACTCCTACAGGCCTGTAGCTCTGCTTTCTGTTATAAGTAAGGTGATGGCAGGATAGCGAAAGGTTGTATGATTTCCGGCACCAGCGATCCACAGGAGAACTCCTAGCTTACGACATGCAACTGCGGAATAAACTCATCCAGTCTTATAGTGAGGCTCATTCCTCTTGATATCACGAAAGCGTTCGATCAGCTGCGGCATGCTAGCCTCTTATGAAAATTTCCAACCCATCGTCTCCCGAAGAAGTTTTGCAGATTGGTGGACGAAATTATTCTCTAGGCGCTGAAGAAAGAAACTAAACCCAAACAAATACACGCATATTGCTCGTGAGTGAATGTTTAGGCGCAGGAGACATTACAGGACCGCATCAAGATATTATGGGTAGTCATCAAAAATTTCATACAAGATAATTATTATCTTTTACAGTAAATTTCAGTTAGAGATTCACAAATGAGTTAACTACACTTTTTAGTTATTAGTAAGTAAGCTGCGCGCACTCATTCAGAAGAGGAACTTGAATCTTCTGAATCGTTTAAATGAATTATTAGAGGTTCAATTTGGGTATCGATGACATTGTCCAAATCTCACATTTTGACCTCAACCTTCTCCCGAACGTGGCGGATACAGTTTTTCCATTCCTCTGCCGTAACTCTATTGACTGCGATGTGAAAGAGATTTTTAACATCAGAAAATTTATAAGTATTATTATTCGACGCCACGTATTGCTTTATGTTGGCCCAAATCAGCTCAATAGGGTTCAGCTCACAATGGTAGGGTGGCAGTCTCAAGACAGTTTTATTTTGTTTTTTGGCCATTTCGTCGATCATTTTAAAATCGTATTTGTATTTATGTCTATTGACTATACTTATCAATTCACCCTTGACCATTGTTTCATCAAAATCGATCTGTTTTGAGGCCAGCCATTGTTGTATGTTTGCTTTTTTAGTTGCCATTGTGGGAATTTTTTCTATTTTTCTAGAATGGTACGGGGCATTATCCAGTACAATAACAGCGTTATTCTCCAGCTTTAGTAACATTTTGGAGAACCAATTTTCAAAGGAATTGCCGTCCATCTCCTCATGATAGTCCCCTATCTTTTTTGATTCAAAGGCCCACAGTGCTTCGGGAACAAAGCCGTCTTCACTACCTACGTGACAAATGATCAGCCGTTTGCCTTTTCCTGGAAATAAATTATTCCTTACACTATGGATTGATTAAATTTGAAGGAATGAGGCAATTGAGTTCATTTAGCTGAATTTAAGAGTCACGGAATGCTGATCAAAAACTGAAAAACGTAGAAAATTGAAGTTTGCAACTTCTCAAAACCCATTCAAAGCAAATTGACTGCACCCAAAAATGATAATAAATTTCAAAATAACGCTTAAAAGAGGGTCGAAGTTTTTTTCCTAATGACTACACTGCGAATGCACCATTTTTGGAGAATATCACACATTATCTGCTATCACAGCATATTATTTGCCCGAATTTATCAAAATTAAATTGCCGGATAGATGAAGGAGCTTACCTGCAGGATTTTTCAATCCAGCCGAAAGACCGTCTAGAAAAGCCTGCCTTGATGATGTTACTGATTTGTCGACCCAAACTTTCGCTTGAGTATGTCCAGCATTCACCCACGTTTCGTCCAAATAGTAAATTTTTCTTTTTTCATCGCGAAACTTCCGAATCTTCCTAAGGTATTCCCTTCTCCACACAACAATTTCTTCTTTCTCTATTAACATACTGTTTCTTCCCCGTTTCAAGAATCGAAAATTAAGTTCCTTCAAAAGTTTTCGGAATGTGGTTCTTTTAAATGATGGAAGATCCTCATCAGCATTAACTAATCTTAATATCTTATCTACTGTAGGTATCTCATTTCGGAAGAAAAAATTATGCACTTTCCTCCTGATGGCAGTTCTGTCAAAGTCATCTACTCCGTCCGTTATCCTTTTTTTTGCAGGATACGGTTTTGGCTCAGAAAGTGAGTGAGTGCTCCGATATTCCTTAATGATCCTATAAACACTGGACCGACATACTCCAGAAATATGTGCTACCTTACGTATAACTTCGTCCACGACCAAATCGGGTTTTTCTTGAATTTGGTTTTTGTATATATTTAATATTATTTGTTTTTCATTTGCACTTAAATGTAGCTTCTTAGCCCTTTTTTTGGGTGGGGTTGCGCTGATGTCAACCACTTCGTCGGCTGTATCTGTGTCAGACACCGTATCTTAGGCAATATATAAACAAAACGTTCCACTCGCGAAAAACGAGTATACGCTACTGAATGCGTAATGCGTATGCAATGCAATCCTGTGCGTGAATTAACTGTTAGATGCCTGTCGTGTCATCTACAATCACGTTTACAAGTCCAAACCTGTGCAGATTCGTAGAGCGCCGACGACTGCTAGTGACCTTGAATTTGCCTGTAGATCGATGTTACTCCAGTCAATTTAGGTTCAAAGTGGATGTTTTCTAAACCAATTTGTTGTTCCTACATCAAAAATATATCGATGATGTTTTGTACTGGGAGCTCATGAAAGATCAAGGTAACTTATTTTAACAGTCATCCTTTTTCTAGTCTCAAGATGACACGAAAAAGGGTCTGTGGATTCACTAGAAATACACTGCCGAGGATGTTTAGACCTAAAGTGACTGGAGTATATCCGTGGATGCTTTCGAGGGATCTGTTCACGTGCTGATCACTGTTTACGTTTAATGTCTTTCTTCAGCGCCCAGAGTATAAGTATATTTTGATCTGAGGAGAAAAATAAACAGTATCTTAAAAAAATTAACAGTTTTTACTTCTTTATTAATACTTTTTTGGTATTGTTACTACGCATACTACATATATATTGATAAGACATATTTGATTGGTTTCATCTTTGAAATACACATTTCGTTAGCCCCATTACAATTAAAATTCATATTAAAATAAGCTAGTTCATTTTTTATTAAATTTAATCAAGCTATATTTCTGTCATCCCACCTCTTGCCATTCATCACCGAAACTATTTCTGTAAATTCTGAGGTAGCGCCAACAGTAATTGAATATGAAACAACTTTAAAAATATTTTCAATTTCTTCTGTGGTGTTTACTAACAGATCCACTTTTGACCAGTCCTCATTTCGAGAAAGTCTTTTTCTTGGATACTTTTTCATAGACTTCTTTGGATCCGTATATGTCTGTGGTGCTAAAAACAGTATTTATGCATACTTTTTTTTCTACGATGAAAAGTATAATTTGGATGAAGCAAACTTCCATCCTAAGCTTTGCGGATGGACGGCTGACTTTCTGCCTTCCGCATTCTTAACGCGGGAATTATTAGCCACAATTTATTTAGCATATTGAACAATTTTTGAAGAATATTAGTAAGCATAATTTCTTTTGTTTCAGCACTTTGACTGCCGGAACCACATACGTGTCATCCAGTCTATGGGAGACGGAAACCGACTGTACATCTGCGGTACCAACGCACACAATCCAAAGGACTGGGTCATCAATGTAAGTAGTAATATAATATTTCTATTTGCTTTATTTTAAACAGATATGGCTCTCATTTTGAGTTGATTTACCACAATTATGATACCAGGAGCAAACGATCCAAAATTATAGTTCCAAAACCAAATAAAAGTGTATTTATCAGATGGCGCAGCTTTTTCGGATCAAAATGTTATAATAGCGTGCCTTAGATATAAGAAAACTCCAAAACTTTTATTCAGTTCAGTTTTTTAAAATAAAATTAAAAGTGTTAGATATAGATAAAATAAAAATTTATCTACGCCTAGAAACATCTATGTTTAAAAAGTATTCCGACCCAGACATGCTTTTTCTGCTATTAAGAATCATATAAAAGTACATAAAAGTATCATTTTTTTAGTCATTTACCTGTTTTTTGGCAATTAAATTAAACCACAACGGCCAAAAAGAATAGAGAATTATTATCACGTAAACTACATGAAATTTTCAGATATCACCTTGAACCAGTCCGTACTTGGCGCTTGTGTGTGTAAAATCGTTCTGTATCTACTCATTAAGAATTAAACGTATCGTTTTGTGTTAATCAAACTACATGTATACTAAGTGACATATAAATCCGAACACCAAGTTTAAATGGTTTTATTTTAATAAAATTTTGTATAAGTACTTAATGAAGCACAATAAGTAAATGATAAAAATTTCAAAATGATTGCACTGCTTTAAAGCCCTTTGACCTTTAATGTGTGGATGCATCCTGATGTGCTACGCATTCTCCAACGCGCCTAGGCATGCTTCTGATCAGGTGGTCAATGTCCTCCTGTGGTATCTCATTCCAGGCAACCACCAACTCCTCTCGAAGTGCTTCTAGAGTCATCATTATGTTGAAAGAAGTCTATTGTGACTCTTGCAACATGTGGTCGGGCATTATCTTGTTGGAAAGTTGGATCTGCCAGGGTGTCAAGATAGGGTAAAAGATGGGGTTCTAGAACTTCGTGGATATAACGCTGCGCGTTCATGTTACCTCTGATGAAGTTTAAAGGTGACCTGGAACCATAAGCTATAGCACCCCAACTCCAACAGTGTGATGAACATGTCTTTCAACAAAAAACTGTGGATTCCTCCTTTCACCACGTCGCCTTCTAACCCTGGCACGACCATCGTGCATGCCTAAACAAAATCGAGACTCGTCACTAAAGACAATACTGTTCCATTCCTGATCCCAGAGTGACCGTTGTCTGCACCACTCAAGGCGATTACGTCGGTGTTCTCGAGTTAAAGGGAGGACCCAGTGTGGCCGGTATGAAAACAAGCCAAAACTTCTCATTCGTCGGTAAACACTTCGCATGCCAATAGGTCTTCCGTGTTCTGCAAACCATTCATTTGCAATGGACCTGGTAGTGGAGAAACGGTCCCTTAAGGCCAATAATCTTAGGCGGCGATCTTCACGGTCTGTTGTTCTACGGCGGCGTCCAGTGCCCCTTGCTCTTTGCGTACGGCCTTCTCGAAGCCATGCCTGACAACACCTAACCACAGTGTCTACACTTCTTTGCACTCTAACTGCAATTGCCCGAAAAGAAAGTCCAGCTTCCCGAAGTCCCACTATACGGCCCCTATCAAACTCACTAAGTTGACGAAATCGTACAGGTCTCCGTACTCTAGGCATCGTTACCGATCGTAAAGGATGTCAAGAACCAAAATCCGCCAACGTTGATTCTTTACTGCGGCTGAAATATTCATTTTTAGAGCGTTAGTGAATTAAAAAAAAGCAGTATAAAAACTGGAATGTCCAACTGAAAATTTTTTCACTTGTTTGTTAAAATAAAACCATTTAAACTATGTGTTCGGATTTATATGTCACTTAGTATATTAAAGTGTAGTTTTAATTCTGTTGCAAATTTGGAAAGTGACTTAATCTTTGCACTCAGCTCATGTCTTTCAAATTGCACTCCTATAATTCGACGAGAGTTCGTTAGAAAAAGATGCCGTGTACTCTAGACTTTGCGTATATTAAAAGCAATATCAATTTGAAACCAGCGATAAGCAAAATACCTGAGAGTTGCATTACTCGAGAGCTCCGATATTAAAATAATATAATATACTTCCTAGACTGCGTAGTAATATAAAATTGAGTTGGCGTCACTACAAAGACATTATTTAATATATTTATTTTGTGACTGAATTAAAAGTGACATAACAACCGGACTCCAGTAGATTAGGTAAAAAAAAAATGGTAAAAACTGATTTGGAATTATATTCAAGATACTTAATTGAAAAATGTTTTAAGATATACAAATTACATTTTACTGAGTAACTGAGGATTCAACTGTTGGCTATTATTTCATATTTTAGGCTGTACACTTTTTGATAAAACACAAATTTAGATATTAGCGATTTTTTTAATAAAATATGAACCGCTCCACCAATTTTAGATTCATTAAGAAGGGATTTTCATGCTCTATAGCTTTCCTTTTTAGTATTCATAGTTTTTTGAACATATGGGAAATATATTTTTTCCAAATGGTTAAGGTCGCACGTCCCTTTTTTTCGTTTTTTTTTAACCATCTGCTTATCAGTATTCTACATCCTTTAAATCTGATAATTTCATGGTGTGTATAAAGGTAATTAAAAAACTAACATTTTTTTTAATAAAAGCATTTTTTGTGCATTTTATTGTGCATTTTTTTCAATAGTAGCAAAATCTTTAATTTTCTTTAAACTCATTTGGTCGGAAATGCAATAAATTGCTTTTTATTTTTTATCTGGCAAACGAAGTGAAATATGAAAGAAACTCAGAAGACAAAAAGTTATGTTTTAAGCTGCTTAATTCTAAACAATAAAAAAATTAAAAAAAATATCTAAGATGTTGGTTAATGTGTTTTCCGGGACGCCACTGAACTTAATAGTTCCAATCTAAATTATCCCCTTGCTGCCCTTAATACTACTGCTAAATTTAAATGAAATTGACTTTAAGTTTATCAAGATACTTTGGAAGAAACGACTTTTTAAAAAAGGTTTCTTTGAAACGAAGCATTTCTAGTCCTATGTTTACATAAACTTTTCATCTTAAAATGACTCAAAGAATCACCTCCTACTATACTTTTTAAAATAATCTAATTATTTCTTAAACTATTGCTATGTCATCTGCGTTACGCTTTGGTATCTAAATGACTTTCTGCCGATCCTGTACGCAAAATTCCCCTTCCAGGCCAACTTGACCCACCTTCCTCGAAATACCTTCGTTCCTGGCATCGGCATGGGCATCGCTAAATGCCCTTACGACCCCGCGGACAACTCCACCGCGGTTTGGGTAGAACACGGCAACCCCGGCGACCTTGCCGGGTTGTACTCCGGAACCAACGCAGAGTTCACCAAGGCGGACACTGTCATCTTCAGGACGGACCTGCACAACCACACCACAGGGAGGAAGGAGTACAGCTTCAAGAGGACCTTGAAGTACGACTCGAAGTGGCTAGACAGTAAGTGTTGCGTTTTTAAATATTCTTGATGGAAGATTGAGCCCAGGTCGTATCATTTAAGGTTTTTTTTTCTGACTGAGGGGTTTTAGTGGGTGTGTCGTATTCAGGAGAGTCTCACACTTCGGGCGCTGAAAAAAGGCATCTGTCTCTGGAAGAACTTCCTTGCTTCCTCTAAATGTTTACAAAACATCAATCGAACAAAATCATCTTTACTGTACGTTCTATTTTCTTCATCATTGAGTGTATTTGGCCCCATTTTCTACCCATTCTTCGATCGACAAGCAAGCTTCTGAGTCATTACCGTCATTTATCCGACATAATGAACTTCTAGAAGCAATAACACGGACGATATACCTCTAAAGGACACCTTAATTTAAGCGGCTGCCTGCAGAATAAAAATCGCCTTCCGCTACAAACAGGTACCACATTATTCTTACACTCCAAGTTGGCTCATAATTCCCTCCTCCCTTCACGTTTCGCGGGGGGATTACCATATATATTACTCCCAGCAGGTCTGGAATTTTTTTTATAATGTGGATCCAGCGTACGCATGGTGTTATTTAAAGTTAACGGATGTGCGGCGGTTGTTATTTTATCTTTTGGGAACAGTAAAACGTTCGCAAATGCGGGAGAAGGAAAAATGCTGGGATAGTGTGTGTTGGCTGATGTTCATGCGTTATTTGAAGCATATCGTACAATCGTGTGTAAATCCGTAAGGTACCGGATAATTTATATTTTCTCTAATTGTATTGGTGATTCCCTTAAAAATCATCGGTCACATTATTTTAAAAATGCTTTTTTTAAATAGAACCACTCCTTTTTTACTTCAAAGTTGAAAATAGGGGTAAATTTTACGTCTGAATGTGTCATCGCCATGACCTTGACTATTTCCTTCAAGGCCATTTCAAGGTCTACCCAAGACTTAGAAAACAATTTGTTCTGACAAAAGTATTCGAAAGCGCAGTTGTGAGGTTTGTGGGGATCACCCCAATGTGACCTTGACTATGACCTTCAGGGTCAAGTCAGAATTTCTAAAGGATATCTCTCATTTCACACTGGAAACGAAAAAAAGCAGGCAGTTTTTATCTAAATGTGACCTTTACCGTAAGGTCAAGGTTCAAGGTTATATGTTGTTTGAGGTCTAGGTCATATTTTCTCCTTTTCATTGCCAGTATATAACTTAGAAGTGCCATTTGAAAATTTCGACTTGAGATTGACATTGTCATGTCCAAGCTCACATTTGGATAATCCCCGCAATCCTCCCAACTGTGCAGTCGAACATTTCTGCTAGATCAAATTTCAATATGTGGATTTGACCTTGGAATCGCCTCAAGGCCGCGGTGAAGGTGATATTCGAACGTAAGATTTCCTCCTCTTTCCAATTCCAATGTGAAAAAGGAGTGTATCATTTGAAAAAATTGACGTTGCAATTATCCTATCTGATCAAGCTTGCTTTCAAGGTCATCTTCATCTGGCTCGCTCAAATCTCTACATTCGTTCGAACCCTTTTTATCTGGAGTGCGCAGTTGTAAGATTTGAAAGGATTCGTTCAACGGTGATCAGAACGTGACCTTGTCAGTAACATCCAAGGTTATTTGAAGGTTAGAACAGTTTCTGTAATTGAAATCCATATTTTTAAACTTTTTGGGGGTGACCAGAAAGTAGAGAAAGTACAAAATATCTCAAGAAATACATTTGAAAAGTTAAAAGGTTGAAATAAAGATTCATCTAATGATACGTGATCTTAACTATGACTCAAGGTTATATGAAGGCCAAAACAGTTTTTTTAAATGAAATCCCTACTTTTGACAGTGAAACTCCAAAGAGCTGAAATTTTTAAACTATGTTTTTGTCTATGACCTTGACTATGGTATATATTTGAGGGTAACTAGAAAGCAGGAAAAGGAGCAAATACGTTTTATAACGAAAAACGTGTAGTAAAGTTGGAAGGTTTGAAAAGATTCGTCTAATGGTGATCTTGAACGTGACCTTGACTATGACCTTAAGCTCATTTGAAGGTCATATTTTTGTTTTGACATCGACAATAAACAGAGCAAAAAACAATATGTTCAGGTATGTCGATGACCTTGACTGACACCATCAAGGTCATTTGAAGATCAAATTAATTTTTAACGTGAATCACCTCTTTTTAATTCCTGAAATGCAAATTGCGGACAATTTTAAGTACATTTATATCCTTGTCAATGAACCTAACCATGACCTTCAAGGCGTTTTTAAGATATCGATCAAGTAAATTCTTTACTTTTTTGGAATATATGAGAAAGCGAAACATTAAAATTAATGTTTTCTCTATCTTATTTATTTTTACGTCCTTCATAGGTGTGTATATGTCAATATTTTCTTTATCAATTCTACTCACAACAGTATCCGGAATTTGATCATCAGAAACTACTTTGATTATAACATTTTTTGCTGCTTTCATCCTGTATGGTTAACAAAAGTAGCAGTACAACTCAAGTTCAGACTGGTCAGATCTCACTTAAAGTCCATTGTTGCATTAAAATATTGGTTAAAAAATATCATTGCCAAAGTAACTATTGCACTACTTTGAATATAACATTTCTTTCTCCGAACTCAATCTCCTTCACACTAATGCAAAAAGAACGGCCTATACATGAAAGTACTTCCGAGCGGGTTTGCTCTAGGTTTGATAAATTAAATAATTATTGTTGTGCGGTACAACCTCACGTAGCTTCAGCATGCAGCACGTATTTGCACCAACAATACAATCGAACATCCCAATATCGGACGTCGACCTCACGTGCGCCATTTCTTAAACCGAGCCAGCCACCGCCGTTCGCCGATTTTAATGAAATCAGGTGTCGATAATGGACACTAATGGCGGTCTCAGTTCGCCTGTCGCACTTTATTGGTAATATCTGAGGAGGCCACGGATCGTGACTGTTTTTTCAAAACCAAAGCGATCCATCCAAGTGCTGCGTTCCGTCTTCATTATTGTGACAGCCAGAAGGGTTTTTCATTTAAGTATTATGCAAATTGAGGGGGTCCTCATTCCTCATTGACTATTAATTGCTGAATTTAAAAAATGGCGACAAGTAGACTGACTCAGGTTTTTGAAGCTCTCTATTAGTCGTTAAAAAATTAGTGTTGTAAAAATGTATGGATATTTATCACCCTGCATTTGTAATTTTTTTACACAAAATTAGACTCAGGTATACGGTGATATATACAGGGTGGCCAAACACGTGACGTCATAAAAAAAAAATTAGATTCCCCACATCGAGAGGAACCCAAATCACCCCCATATATATGGTCCGATTTTGTTTAGTTTAGGAGTTATGATTTTTTTTCGGATTTTTCGAGAATTTTTGAGTTCTGTGTTTATTTTTACCATAACTTCGTTAATAATTGTGATAAATGCCTGCTTTTTTCACGATTATGTAGCTAAGACCTAAGGCTTAACTATCATATAATCATTCAAGTCATGTAACTAATACTACTTTTTAATTTTTTTCAAAATCTTCGAACATAACAAAAAAGTAAAAAAGTTCAACAACTTTGAACGTTTATAAAAAATTGAAAAAACATGTTCTTACTATTCGTAAGTATCTTAAAAACTTCCTTACGGTATCAGCTATTTACCGTAAAAATTTCATCAACCTAGCTTTACTACATGCTACCGTAATTGTGGCTCAAATAGAACCGAACCCAAAATTGGATAACCCTCTGCTCAATAGAAATTGTTAGTTTCGGAAAAAAAATTTGCAAAAACCACAAAAACACGTTTGATTTTTACTGAACAGCAGATTATTATTCATTTATGTTATTTACAAGAGGTTTTCAAAATGTCTGCCTCTAACAGAAATGCACAGTGTACACCTACGTATGAAATTTTGTTTTAAATCTCTAAATGTTTGTGTGTTGTTTTTCAACACATGTGTCGCTTCTTGAATTTTGTTCCTCAATGAATTTTCATTTGCACATTCTTGGGCGAATGTTATGTCTTTAAAATATCCCCAAACAAAAAAATCAATGGGGTTGAGGTCAGGGGAGCGTGGAGGCCATCGTATCGGTCCGTTTCGTCCGATCCATCTGTCTGGGAACCTTTCGTTTAAGTAGTTTCGCACGATCGTTGCGTTGTGGCATGGTGCACCATCATTCTGGAACACCATGTTCCGTCTGGCTTCCAGGCTTGAATCTTCCAGCAATAATGGTAGGCTATTTTCAAGGAAGCTTTTGTAAGCTACCGAATCCAACCTTGACGGCAGTTCAAATGGACCGATAAATTCCATATTGAATATTCCTGACCACATGTTCACACTAAAACGGTGTTGAAATGTCGACGGCCTTGAGTGGTGGGGGTTTTCAACAGCCCAAGTATGTAAATTATGGATATTGAATATCCCTGTTCTTTCAAAACGTGACTCGTCAGTCCATAAAATTTTATCAAAAAAATCGGGATCCTCTCGTTGTCTTCGCAGCATTGTCTCGCAGAAATCCACTCTTAACTGGTAATCTGAAGGCATCAACGCTTGAACTCTTTGAACATGATAGGCATGATAACCTTCTTCATGAAGAATATTTTGTATCGATGTTCGTGGTATTCTAAGGTTTTGTGCCATAGATCTCGTACTCGTTGAGGGATTCCGGCTAATTTCTTCAAGTACTACTTCTCTGCGATCCGGATCAGCTGTAGGATATCCTTCATTGCTTCCTCGTCCTGGAATGCGGCCTGCCATGAAAGTGTTATGTGTGTTAATAAAAACACGGTGGTCTGGGTAATGCTCAGGTTGTGGTCCGCCTCGGCGTATAAGTTGTTCCCGGTACAGCTGAGCATTACCCAGACCACCGTGTTTTTATTAACACACATAACACTTTCATGGCAGGCCGCATTCCAGGACGAGGAAGCAATGAAGGATATCCTACAGCTGATCCGGATCGCAGAGAAGTAGTACTTGAAGAAATTAGCCGGAATCCCTCAACGAGTACGAGATCTATGGCACAAAACCTTAGAATAC